GTTTGCCCCACATAAGAAGCATCGCAATCGTTACACTGAATTTTATAAACGACGTTACTTTTAGATGTGTGGAGACGTGAGTCCTTTTGCACCTTAATGTATTTTTTCATTTTGTTCGGACTACGAAAAGAAACTCTGACAACACTCCTATCAAATCTCTTAAATTTCTCCGCGTGGATCGGAATGAAAGGCACCGTAAGCCAAGATGGACATGCAATGTTGTTGTTCCAGGTAGTGAGCATTATATCAGGTTGTTTGCCGATTAAGATTTGTGATGAATTTCTTATCACACAAGAAATCTCATGTAGGAACTTTTTTGAGAAAGAAAAAAGCAGGTTGGATTCAAAACTAATTTGGTTGTTACGTAAAAAAGAAAAATTAAATCTAATTAATATCAAACCTATTAAATATCATTGTCTAAATGAATCTTCTTCTGATATCCTTATATCTCCTCAGGTTTTTTCTTCACACAGTTCCTCTTCTTTAAATACTCTCCGAAAAAAATGGTTTGTGAACCTTTCTTCTGTCGATATCCCTTATAACGTCATGTGTTTTTTGCAGTTAGGCGAAAATTTTGCTCTTCCTTTTAATAACAGGACGAAAATTGTTTTTGAATGTATTAAGGGTATTGAAAGTAAAGCAACCATTCAGAGGTGACCTTCTTTTTTATTTTAGATATGTGGATGACGTTTGTATGGCAATCTTACCGGAGAAAATAGATACTCTTTTTCAAGCTTTTAATTCTTTTCATCCTCGACTTCAGTTCACACTGGAAATAGGAGGAGATAAGTTGAACTTTTTAGATACCACTATTTCTAAAATTAATAATATATTTATTTTTGATTGGTACCGAAAACCCACCTTTTCTGGTAGATTCTTAAATTTTCTCTCTAATCATCCTATATCTCAAAAGAGGGGTGTTGTGTTTTCTTTGGTTGACAGAGCTTTTTTACTCTCTGATTTTGGATTTCATAAAAGAAATCTAACTCTTATCATTGACATTTTACTGGATAATGATTATCCTTTGGATTTTATCTTTGATTCTGTCAACCTCAGAATAAAGCATCTATTAAAGAATCATAAAGATCACGCTCGTACACAGATTGATAATAATATTAATGCATGTCCATCTTGGCTTACGGTGCCTTTCATTCCGATCCACGCGGAGAAATTTAAGAGATTTGATAGGAGTGTTGTCAGAGTTTCTTTTCGTAGTCCGAACAAAATGAAAAAATACATTAAGGTGCAAAAGGACTCACGTCTCCACACATCTAAAAGTAACGTCGTTTATAAAATTCAGTGTAACGATTGCGATGCTTCTTATGTGGGGCAAACCAGCAGACAATTAAAAACAAGAATTAAAGAACACCGTAATCATATAAATTATAATAGTTCTACCAGATCGGTAATAACTGATCACAGATTGGAGTATAATCATGACTTTCGGTGGGACGATGTTGAAATTCTTGATGAGGAACCTTGTTACAGGAAGCGATTGGTCTCAGAAATGTTAAATATTAAAAAACAGAAATTTAGCCTAAACTTACAAACCGACACGGAAGGTCTTCATGAAGCATATATACCCATTATAAACAAAATTTGATCTTTCTGTATCAGTTGTTGCCGGTCGTTATTTAGTTGGAATTGGTCCGTTGAGGATGTTTGACGTGTTCCATGTATTACTTTTTATCTCAAGATGTACTTCGACAGTTTTGTAATATTTCTGACATAAGTTTTTTTAAAGAAAAAATTTTTTTCTGTTTTTTTATTGTGTGACAATTATCATTATGACTATTTTTGTAAATATATGGATACACGGACCAACTAATATTTTCACGCATAGATTTGCAAATTTTTTGGTATGTTTTGCGCATCGTTAATTTTCATTCCTAGAATTTAAGATTACAATCTTTTAATTAATATATGTTCATTTATTGTTTTCAGTTATATATTTAACTATGCACAAGATTTTCTTTTGTATTGATGTTTGTCCATAATTATGTACATTTCAACGTTAAGTGTTTCATCTGAAGAGGACCAGATTTGGTGGTCGAAACTAGTAATGTAATTAACATCTGTTTTTTTAATCGTTACATTTATGTAAATTTTATAAGTTCATTTTAGAATATATGTATTAATTTGTTGTTAATTTTCTTTTCGTTTGACTCTTACAATGCCATTTCCACGTTTATAATATATTAAATAACTTGTTTATAGGTAAATTCTGTATTGTATACAAATTTTGGAGTATGATTACAGTAATTTTTTTTTATTTACAGAATATTATTAATATTTCCGTCGTCGTTGGAATAACATATATTGAAATATGTATGATTTTTAGTCTTCTTGAGTCCAAAATTCAATTAAACAGAAACAAGGTTTGTTTGACATGCGCAGTCACGAATTGAAAACGACTATCAGAGCGACAGAGAGGACTAATGAAGCGCAAGAGTGGGGGAAGTTATCCGCCGTCACTTTTTGGCCTACCCCCACTACCGATATTTGACCGAGTTTACTCTCCTGGTTCTAGTCTTCTTGAACATAAGCAAGTGGCTAAAACAATTTGAAGAAATAAAAACTGTCAATGATCTACCGGATGTAAGAAAAACGATCGACAAAGAAGATGGACAGATTATAGGAATATATTTTTTACCAACCTCTCTCTCTCTCTCTCTCTCTCTCTCTCTCTCTCTCTCTCTCTCCTCTCTCTCTCTCTTTCTAAAATTGAAGAAAAAAATATTTATATTTATTGAGAGCATTCGGAGCCTTTACGTGCAAATAAGTTAAAATTCCATCAATTTCACAATAAATAAATCTGTCTCCATCTATTTCTTATTAACAAATTTCACAAATTGTTATAATCAGTAAATATAGTCCTGCCTCTCAAAGCAAAGATTTAACACTTTCACTTGGATTATTTAGATACTTTGAATGATTTATAGCATCAAAGTCGTTTTTACATCCAATGGAAAGAAGAAAATAGTATCAAAGTGAAACTGGCCGGAGTGAATCTGACGATCGAGAAAAAATGTCTGTGTGTGAAAATATATAAAGTTAAGAAATAGATAATGAAACAATTAATTAAATAAATTTATTTAATATGGAGATCTTTACCTTGAGAATATTCTGTCAAGTAAAACGGATGCCCAAAAGATTTTAATTATCGTCAGCGGCGATAACTAAACAGCTTAAAATTATAAAAGCGTCACAGCGTTAATTAAATAATAAATGTGCATTTTTTTAATTTTATTATAAAAAGCTATTTTTAAATTATATCACGCTCTTATTATACAAACTGTATGTATACCTTCTTAATTAAATTTAACCGCGACAAATAGACATTCCATTATACTATATACAATATACAAATGACACTTTAGACGTATTGTGGAATGTGTGTGATGCACCCCCTGTGAATGTGTCCTGGTGGCTTGCAGACTCAGACCAGGAGGACCATTCTCACAACTCGGGGCTAATGAACATCAGAAAACCGTTAGGTAAGTATCTCTACATCGACTTTAAGACTTTCATTACTTTTACTTCCGTTTGCACTTTAGATTTTCGCAATGTCGCTCTTCTAATTAAAGCAATCCTTAAATTTTTCAAACGCTAATTATTTACGAGTTTCATATTAATATTTCGGTTTAATTTTTTCTTTGGTATTTTCAACATTAATTTTGCAAAAATCAAACTGTACATATATGTACATACAATATGTATATATATGTATATATATATATATATATATATATATATATA